GCCCGCGCGGGACGGCTTGCTCCGAGGCTTTTAGTCAATGAGGATCTTTATAACGGAGATCTGATGAAGGTTAATTAACTAAAACAAGTTATGAGGCAAAGAGTAATTTTTTAAAGAGCGGAACGCGTTAACCAGCAGCCGTAGAGTGAACGAGGGTTCTTTTTATGAATATAAACCCCCGCTTCCCTCCCGGCTTAGGGATTTTTGCTGTGTTTGCAGCCGAGCGCGGCGCACGACAAGCCTGTCTGAAACGAACCGTCCTGGCGGCCTCAGGAGCGGCAGCGTTCTGTCCCGGTGCGGGGACAGCCGTGGCTCTCCAGCCCGGCGTTGGGGCGCCAGCGCAGCGTTGGTTTTGCTCTCCTCCAGGCTTCGTGCGTGCAGTACCGTTTGGTGGTGCGGGATGCGAGGACCCTCCAGATCCTCCAGCTGTACACTTGCCTGGATCAGATCCAGTACATAGAGTGGTCGTCGGACTCGCTGTTCATCCTGTGCGCCATGTACAAGCGCGGGGTCGTTCAGGTAAGGGCAGAACGTGTCTCCTAGGGGGGATTCGTGTGTGGTGGTGGCGAGAGCTTCTTAACAGCCAGCCCTGCTTCGATGCTTTTGCTAAAGTATCTGACGTTGTTATGGGTAACGCGTGGTTTGAGGATAACCCAGCGTGCCATTGTTTCTAAAACCGTGACAGACATCTCGCCTTGAACAAACCCCACCAAATTTAGAGTAAAAATATTTATCAGAACAGATAAAAGCCGGAGATTATCTTACAGCATCTCCGTTCAGTAGGAAATAAACACATGCAAGCTTGTTAAATGGACTAAAACTTTTCTCAAGTGTTGGATGTTTAGAATATTTGTCACGGGGAAAAAAAAAACAACCAAACAACAAACACTTAACAGTTTGTATGAACACACAGAGGTGTGGGGCTTACTTTTGTAGCGGGATCCAGCGCCAGTCCTTCATGGCCGTGGGCTCTCAGATGTTTCCTGACCGCTCTGCGATGCAGGCACCTTTTCTCAGCTGCAGCGTGTTCTGGTGAGCAGAGGTTTTGATGAGCTGTTCCTTTGCTGCGCTCTGTTTGGTTTCTGCTCTGACCTAGGTCTGGTCCTTGGAGCAGCCAGACTGGCACTGTAAGATAGACGAGGGGTCGGCAGGACTGGTGGCTTCATGCTGGAGTCCGGATGGTCGTCACATTCTCAACACAACCGAGTTCCATGTAAGTGTGAAGTCATGATTACTCGCCACGGTATCAGATGTTGCTGTCTGCCCTTTGCCTCTTAAAATAACCTAAAGCTCTTAAAGCTGTAGTGGTGGTAAAGAACACAGATATAGTTCTTCTGTATTTGTGTATGTAATCTAAATTAATTCCAGTTTAGATGTTAATTATTGTGTTAACATTTTATTCTATTGCTTCTGATGATAAGATAGAAAAGAGCTTTGAAGATAAAATTATGTGTTTGAGAAAAGTGCAGGGATAACTGGCATTCATCACAGCTCATTTAGAAATCAAGGGTGGTGTTCGTAGCTCAGGGAAGGCTCAGGATTTCTAGCAAAAGAACCCCAAATGTTGAAGAGTGGCTGTAGAATTAAAACAAATATGATCTTAGGTTTATTGAGCTATGAGATTTAGGTCCAGATCCTGGAAATATTTTCATAATTATTTGATTTTACACACAGGAGTCTGACTGCTGTTGATAGAACCACTTGCAAAATTAAAATTAAAACACCTGCAAGTGCTTATGGGTTAAGAGCAGTATTCTGGAATCCACATCAGTCTGTGGATGCTGGGCTTGCTGGGAGGCATGTGGAAGTCTGATTCTCCACCTTTATAGCCTCTGGATTAGAGCTGATGATTCGTGTTACTCAACACAAGGATGAACAGTCACAAAAGAGCTGAGAACTACACGTGAGACCTTTTTCTCTTTGCTGCGTTTACTCTCAAAAGATGGGTTTTAGATGTCATAACCCTCGCTAGCGCTGCATTTGGATGTTACAAGATTTTTCCTTTTTCCACGCGAATCCTGATGTCGGTGGAATACAGACAGGCACTTTGGCAGTTGGGTGTGTGGACTGGGGACAGCACAAGAGCTGGTGCTCAAGGGAACCTGTGGAGAAACTCGAATACAGCTCTGCTGTGGTTCCTGGCGCACACACGGTGGAACCCCCCGGCAAGGATGTTTAGTGCTGGCAAGGACTCTTGGTGCTGACTGGGGTAGAGGTTTTCCAGCTGGAAAACAGTCTCTTTCTGTTCCCCTGCCCCTTCAGAGGGGGTTACAAGGAGTGATGAATCTAGGCCTTAGTATTCCCGGGAATGAATCGCCCTGATGGCAATGAAAGTAAATAAAACAAGCCCGGAAGTTCTGGCTGAAGTCAGGAAAGCCACTCCTGGTAGTCAGGCAGGAGCACTGCAGTCAGTAACCCAAACCAGAGGCTGGTGCTACGTGCTACGAGCGAGTATCTCGCGGCACGTGCGTGTGGGGGTGGACTAGCAAGTATTTATTGCCTCCCAACAGAACTTGGTTTGACCTTAGAGGATTTCATTAAGCCTTTGCCAAGTTGGCATCTGTGTTGGGATAAGTTTTCTTTCCAGCTGTAAACAGGTTGCTAAATTAGCTTTTGTCAGACAGCTGCCTGGGTTATGCTGGTGTCTGAGTTGTGTTTACTCTCTCTGCTAAATCCATAGTCTGGTGGGACAGACATGAGTAGTGCTGGAGACAGAAACTGCCAGGATACTTAATATTGGTGTATTATGTACATTATCAAATTCAGCGATTGCTCGGAGGGCTCAGGGGTTCCCTGTCAACCCGTGCAGCTTGGCTTTAGCCTGACATTTTCAAACAGCACCAGCTAATTGCTCATACTTGTAATTCTTCAGGTCAACATGTCTGCTCCCCTCTAAGCTCACAAATAACTTTCTTATTCCTAGATATTTATTTTTTTTTAAGGGATATGGTTGTGCTAATTTATTTCTAGCAATCTGCACTGACTAGTGCCTCAGAAAAATCACTCATCGGCCAGCTTGCAGTTGGGTTCTTTTTGTGGCCAGCGCTATAGTGAATAATGTTGTGGGGTGTTCAGCGTGCTGGTGTGCTGTCCCTAACCCCGGATGAGCGCAGCAGAATTCTGACGCACGCTTCCAAAATCCATTTTGACTCCGTTCAGTCTTTTGAGACGGCGGCAATGCTCTGTGTGCGCTTAACATTAACTCTGCAAATATGTGCATTTTATTGGGGAGGAGTCTTGCAGTAACGTGCAGGTTGCACACTGTGCAGCAGTACTGGATGGCACAGGTACCTGTCTAAATCTTTACAGTTACTGCAATAAACATGATAGACAAGGCAACTAAATGGTACAGCCTTATCGGGGCAAGCAGAGAGAAGAGACTCTGTCCTTTCACTTGATGCGTTGTTTTTCACGATAAAAGATTGCTGGCATTTTCAGAGGAATTGATGAGGCTTAATTACAAAAGCGTGTGTAGTACCTAGTTACTTGCCCCAAAATTTTGAAAGCATCTTTGTGCTGTACCTTAGCTCAAGTGCTGTGTGTGGAGGGGTCGTTCTGTCAGCAGCTGGGCTGGAAGTTCTGTGGAGATGTAGAAGAGATTTAGGCTTGTTCCTTAAACTCTTGCTATGCTGGGTTGGAGGATTCCCTTCTGTCGGGGACTGTCAGTGCTGCCCTCCAGAACTGCAGGGCGAGATACAGACTTGCTAGGTTGTGCCAGGCAAAAACGAGCGTTTTACTGGGCAGCCAGATATAGTCAAAAGGGCTTCCAAACTTGGAAGGTTGGGTGTTTTGTTGTTTTTTTTTTTTTTTTCCTTCAACTGTCTGCTTCTATCCTGCAGGCACATGTGAGAAGTGGTCAGAATAGTTGCAACTTGATTTTTTCATCACCTTGTTGGTTATACCAAGCTAGAGTACAGTTCTGTTAGGAAACCAACAGGGTTTTTTTGGGGGGGAAAGAGAAAGGGAGGTGGTACTTTTCGCATTTAACTAATCAAGAGCAAATCTAAATTAGTTGGAAAAACACCTTCTGAAAGCCTGATAGGCAAAGTCTCTGCAATCTGAAAAAGCTGGAACACCATGTTTATGTTGATTCATGCAGGGCACTGGAAAGCAGTCTGTTACTGATTTTGTAGCGGGCGAGTCCTCTCCTGCTGAAATGCTAGAAGGTTCCGTGTTACCGGTTTGTCCTGTGGAAGGTGGTGTACCAGGTATCTCTCCTCGTGCAGTGCCGTCATGCCACCCAAATTCATAGCCCATGGAGAGCTTGGATGGATCCTCTGCTTCCTCCTGGCTCTCGTGGTTTGTGGCCACCCGTTTGAAGACCAGCAGCATTGTTCTGGAGCGTCTCTCAAGAGCTGTACTTGTAAACTACGTGCGTTGTAGTTTCCCTAGTTCCACGTTGGGAACTGAAGCATTAAGGAGCTTCTTTCGAACCACAGCAGCAGGGGGAGAAGCGTGTGTTTCTGTGTATATTGGAGCTAATCCTTAGTAACTGTAAATGGCTACATTGGTTGAAAAATGCTTTCTGTCGAGGAATGCGCTCTGAATAATCTTCTGAAATCCGGTGCTGACAGACACTGCTATGTAAGGAGGCCTTGTGACCCAGTCAAGTCTGGGACAAAAGTTGACAGTCATTTGAGATGCAAGGTTGTTTAAAAGTGTGTTTTTATCTATTGAAAATCACCAGTCTTACACCTGCCTATAGCTGTCAACATGGGGATGTAGTCCCGAACCCCGCACTGGAGACTGTTTATCACGTTACCATCTAAATACTTTTTATTTCTCAGCTGTTTTTAGGCTATTTTAAAAATGCTTCTGCTTTTGGTTTGTTTTTCCACTGCAAAACAACAGCTGAAATCTTCTCAGACACCGTTATCGTTAGGATTTGAGTTTGACATCTCCACTTTAGCATGGATGACTCGATTAAGAGAAAGTACCCCTCAGAATGATCAGTGAGGAGGTGCTTGCTGCAGGCTTAATTGACCACGGTCTGTTCTCCTGGAATAATAAAGCAATTGCCCCTTCCCCACCAAGTGTCTGAGAGAAGCAAATAAGAGCAATGTGTTTTATTGTAATTTTTGAAGTGTTTGGCTTTCTTTTTTTGCCCCCTGTGCATTTTTTTTTCTGTGTCTCATAACGATATCTACTAGCTGTGAAATTGCCCAAGAAAGTTTGTTGACAGCTTATGGAATGATGTTTTGGTTGGGAAGATGAAGGGGTCTCCATTTTTGTCACAGTTTAATTGTAACCGTATCGTTAATCCGTGTAAGATGGGTGTGAAGTCCATATGTTAAACATACAAAGTAACTTTCTCAGTTTATAAAAATGTTTGTACACAAATAGAACAACTGAAGAGAACCCTAATTCTGGGAATCGGAGTGGTGTTTGACAGGCAGCCAAAGCCCCCAGGTTATGCTGTGTGTGTTACAGCCCAGCACGGACGTGGGCTCTGACCTGCAGTCGGGACCTTCCCCTTCCCCTTCCCCCTCCCCTTCCCCTTCCC